ACAGCTCTCGGTCCCTCATGAATCTATAGAAGATTGTACCGTTGCTGGGTATCACATCCCAGCAAAGACACGACTATGGGTGAATCTTTATAGGCTCCAAAGAGATCCAAGTGTTTGGGAGAATCCTAACGAATTTTTTCCCGAGAGGTTCTTGACAACTCAAAAGAATTTTGATGTTAAAGGACGAAATCCCCAATTGATACCGTTTGGTTCTGGTCGAAGAATTTGCCCTGCAGTAACTTTTGCCCTCCAAATTTTGCACTTGTCGTTTGCAAGACTTCTTCATGAGTTTGAAATTGGACGACCATCCGAAAAGCCACTTGATATGGAAGAGATTGCTGCTTTGAATATCACTAAAAAAGTCCCTCTTAAAGTCGTCTTAACTCCACGTATTTCTACTGAAGTTTATGAATGATTCTATGATAAATAGTAAAAAATAATAATTAGTAGTATGGTTGTATGCTTTAATTGCATAAAAAAATGTCTTTTTAATTAAGTTTATAATATTTTAATTAGATGAATTAGATTTTTTGTTGGGTTGTTGTTTAGTACATTAACATTAATATAAAGTTATCAATTCATATTAAAATATGTTCAAGTCACGCATTTTTATAGTTCGGTTCTTCAAAGTTTATCATCTCATAAGGTATATATCTCTTAAAGTTCAAAAGTACCTTAATTAGCTATTTATTAATCTCTTTTATCATCAATATCACCCACCTATATATCTCAAGTGTTTAAGGCGTGACTTCGTCATAGATTCAACCCATAGCTCTGATCATATAGCTATGAGCACTGTCTCAGATTTTCTAGTAGGGTTTAGTTCATATTTTCCTAGTGTATATGGTCATACACTTGTTTCTGTCTTGGCTCCTCACATGATCTTCACATGTGACTCGTGACCTATTTTCATCCTAATACGACACCTAACAAGCCTCTTAATATTAATATAGGTGGGGTAATTGGAAGACATACAAATTAAAAAGTTTATACATCACTTCAAGCAAGTGATAATCATGGGAGGCTCTAGGTCTTTGCAATTATTGCGCCATCCTTGTCTTCTTCTCACGCTTATGGACCTACAACGTTCAAATTTTCTTTGATTTAGATGAGCAAGTTGGGAAACAATGACATGTGAATGAATCATATATATTATAAAAAAATCTAATGTATTTTAAAGTCGTCGTGAATGAAACCTTCTATTTGAGCCCTCCAAATCTAATTAGATTTCCACTTGATCAATGAAAGATTGCATGGTTGCTAGGTACCACACTTGTGCACGTAACACTGCTCTTAAGAACCTTTATCATTTTAAATATGAAAAGTTCCATAATTATTAAATTTAAAATAATAGTTGTATATTAATAATAATTGTTGATAAATATTCTTCATACAACCGTAAAACATAGGTTGAAGGCTAAATTAATAATAATTTTTTTTATAAAAAAAACTTTTGTTTTAAACGCTGGGAGATATTTCCATACTAACACACTATTCGATGTCTGACTCTGATACCATTTATAACAGCTCAAACTCATCATTAGTAGATATTGCTCATTTTGATCCGTTATATATTGTGACCATATTCGCGATTTTAAAACGTGTGTGATGTAATGACACACGAATCCAACAATATTTATAATTTTATATAAAATAAACTAAATAAATTTTGTAACTCAAAAAATAATTAATAGGCAGGATGGCAAGGATTCAATGAAGAGTTAATATTAGAACAGCTGGATACCATTAATATTCAATTCACCAAATATTGTCCTAATAAATCTGTCGGTCCATGGCTCAACTTCCCATAAAAACGTAATCTCCCACTTCTCTCTCATGGAACTTCCCCACACCTCCTCATCGGCCGCCGTCGCCGGAATCTTCGCCCTTCTCATCTTCCTCTATGTCCTCTTCAACATATCTAAAAGACTCAGCTCTAATCCAAAGAGACTACCACCAGAACCCGCCGGAGCATGGCCGGTGATCGGCCACCTCCATCTACTGAGCACAACAGAGCCAGCCCACATAACGTTGGCCAAAATGGCGGATGTGTACGGACCAATCTTTACATTAAGGTTGGGCATGCACAAAGCCTTGATTGTAAGCAGCTGGGAGATAGCCAGGGAATGTTTTACGACAAAAGACAGAATCTTTGCCTCTCGACCAAAGCTTGTCGCCTCAAAGCTGCTTGGTTATAACTACGCCATGATGGGGTTGAGCCCTTATGGCTCACACTGGCGCCATGTTCGTAAAATGGCCACTCTCGAGCTCTTCACGAACCATCGCCTGCAGCAGCTCCAACACGTTAGGGTGTCGGAGGTTGATAGTTCGATTAAGAAGCTGTATGAGTTATGTGGTAATGGAAAGGAGAAAGCTTTGGTGGATATGACGACGTGGTTTGGTGATATTACTCTCAATACCATATTCAGAGTAGTGGTCGGAAAACGATTCTCGACGGCGGTGGAGGGTGGCGGTAATGATGAGTATCGGAAGGCGTTGAGGGAATTCTTTGAATGGTTTGGAGTGTTTGTTCCTTCGGATTCATTTCCGTTTCTTAAATGGTTGGATTTGGGAGGACATGAGAAGGCCATGAAGAAGACGGCGGAGGTTTTGGATGAAGTGTTTGATAAATGGGTGGAAGAGCGTCGGAAAATGAGAGCTTCCGATGAAGCGAAGACGGCGGAGCATGATTTCATGGATGTCATGCTTTCTACTGTGAAGGATTGTGATGAACTTTCGAGCTATGACGCTAATATCGTTATCAAATCTACGTGTTTGGTACGTTTATTTGTTTTATTTTGTCTGAGTATATAAACGGTTTAATTAAGTTGTTTGGAGCTTGTGTAGGCACTTATATTGGCAGGTTCGGATACGACAACAGTTACGATGATATGGGCTCTTTCTTTACTACTCAACAATCCCGAAGCACTCGAGAAAGCTCGGCTTGAATTAGATGAACAAGTTGGGAGAGAAACACACGTGAAAGAATCAGACGTGAAAAATCTTATATATCTCCAAGCAATTGTGAAGGAAACGTTACGTTTGTATCCTGCTGGGCCACTTGGCATCCCTCATGAATCCATAGAGGATTGTACTATTAATGACTACCATATTCCGGCGGGGACACGTTTGATGGTAAACATTCAGAAACTTCAAAGAGACCCACGAGTATGGGAAGATCCTTGTGAATTTCGACCAGAGAGATTCTTAACAAATCACAGAGATTTCAATGTTAGAGGACAAAGTCCTGAGTTCATACCCTTTGGAAACGGACGGAGGATGTGTCCTGGAATCTCATTTGCCCTTCAAATTATGCATTTAACGCTTGCAAATTTACTTCATGGATTTGAGATTGATAGGCCATCTAAAGAGTTATTGAATATGGAAGAAAGCGCTGGTCTGACGAGTATTAGAAAAGACCCACTCGAGGTGGTTTTAAGTCCACGTCTCCGTCTTTGATATCCACTCAAGATTGTTCATCTAGTTCAACTCACGCCTTCCAAAGTGTTTCTTGAATAATACTATCAATAATGAAAATAATTAGCATTGAAAAGATTTAAGTGATGAACATGAACTATTGGTTTATTTGTAATTTATACATTGAAAATAATGTTATGAATAATTGTTATATTAATCTTAATTATCGTTCTCATTTAATTAAATTCCTAAATGATGCTCCATTCAAGAATGTTAATATATATATTATGCTATATTAGTTAATTTGGAAATTTTAATTGTAATATTTAAAATAATGATGTTTTATTTATTAAATAATATATCGTACTATTAAAATTTAAATTTTTAAGATTTAATATGTTTACTTATAAAATTGATTGAATTGTTATGACTTCTTATAATTTTTTTAGTAAAGATACTTTAGTAAAATAAAAAAAATTTAAATAGCTATTTTTTTTAAATGATAAATGCGTAAAAATTACAAGCACGAATTTCTTTTTCTCCAATTTTCGCAAAAATAAATAAAAAATTCTCGTCTCGTTTCCCCTTATGAATGTCTCTAAATAAATCTACGTGGAGCATAACCTTCGCCAACCTGGAGGAGAATCCCTTTGACATAAGGTTTTATAAACAAAATTAAAGAAAAATTATGAACTAATATGAACCATTAAAATTATAGAATCTAAATCCTAATTTTCTTTAAATTATTAGAATAAATTTATAATTTAATTAACTTTTAATATGATAGGATAATAATAATATTGTTAATAAATAAATAAAGACAACAAAAGATCTAAAAGGACATTGAGTGCGGTAGTACACGGTGCCTAGGATGCCGTAAGAAACGAAAATAAATGTAAACTAGATGCGAAGAGATGAGATTATTTGAATGACCATAAATATGTGGTTCCCTTTCCATTCTTCCACTATTTTTTTACTCAAATATCTCGACGTTCGTACTTATTTTGTCTATGACGTGATATTGTGTACTTTTAACGTTAACTATGATAACATGAGATATAATTTATATGGTTGATATGCCGTTTCTTTAATTAAAATTGTCGTGGGAAGATTATACGATTTCTAGTAATTACATATTTTTGTCGATATGTGTTTTGTAATCTTCAAAAGCTCTATTATGTGGACCCGTTATTGATTTCAATCGAAAAAAATCTTTCACAAGTTGATGTGTATTGTTGTTATAATTTAGAAATAGCTGAAAGATATACGTTCTCAATATTTCAAATTCTTTTGGGACTCTTTTTTCATATGTTTACCAATGATTGATTACTATAATTATGAAAATTACGAAACTTATTTTGGAAAGGAGAAAAAGAAATGAATTATTTTATGATTATATATTATACCAACATTATTTTAAGAGAAAAAGAGCTTAAAAAATTTCCTAATTTACAAATATTCATTACATCAATATATTCAATAACACCACTTAATTTGTGATACCAGTCACGAGATGAATTATTGCGATAAATAAAATTAAATCATTTATATAAAAATCTCCACTTAATTTGTTTTTGGAGTCCGGAGAGCCATCTAGTCTCCTGTATAAACCACCCCTTCCCACCGCTCAATTCGCAGAGCAACCCGAATGGAACAGCTGCCTCTCGCCGGAATAATCTTCGCCCTTCTCTTCTTTCTCTATGCTCTCTTCACTATATCCCGGAGATCCGCCGCTCATCGGAAGAAACTCCCACCGGAGTGCGGTGGCGCCTGGCCGGTGATCGGCCACCTTCATTTGCTAAGTACAAAAGAGCCAACTCACATAACCCTTTCAAAATTGGCTGATAAATACGGACCAATATTTACATTTCGGTTCGGTATGAAAAAGGCCTTGATTGTGAGCAATTGGGAAATAGCAAAAGAGGTTTTTACTACAAAAGACAGAATCTTTGCCTCTCGACCAAAGCTTGCAGCCTCAAATCTATTGGGCTACGACTATGCCATGATGGGGTTGAGCCCTTACTCTCCACATTGGCGCCATGCGCGCAAGATAGCCACTCTTGAGCTCCTCACAAACCACCGCCTCGAGCAGCTCCAACACATCAGAGCGGCGGAGGTTCAAAGATGGAACAACAAACTATATGAATTATGGGTCAAAAGAAAAGACGAAAAATTGGTGGTGGAAATGAAGAATTTGTTCGCTGACATAACGCTCAACACCATATTCATGATGGTGATCGGAAAGCGATTCTCCACCGCCTTCGACGGCCACGACGGTGAAGATTGCCAAAAGGCATTGAGGGATGTCTTTGAATTGTTTGGAATGTTTGTTCCATCGGATTCGTTTCCATTTTTGTGGTGGTTGGACTTCGGAGGACATCAAAAACGCATGAAAAAGACAGCAAAAATACTCGATGGGGCGTTCGAAAAGTTCCTCAAGGAGCATCGCCAGAGGAGAGATCGTGTTAAACTTGAGATGAAGGAAGAAGACTTCATGGATGTCATGATCTCTAGGGTTAATGAAGATGGAAACCTTTTCAGCTTCGATGGTGACACAGTCGTCAAAGCTACTTGCTTGGTAACTATTTTAGTATTTTAATTAAAACATATTAATTTCATTAATCAACAAGTTTTGGTTTGTAGAATATGATATTGGGTGGATTCGATACTATGACGGTAACAATGACGTGGGCGCTTTCGTTACTCCTCAACAATGAAGAATCGCTTAAAAAGGCCCAACTTGAATTAGACGAACAAGTCGGGAGGGAAAGACAAGTACAAGAGTCTGATGTGAAAAATCTACCATATTTACAAGCTATTGTTAAGGAAACTCTACGGTTGTACCCAGCTGCGCCACTCTTAGTCCCTCATGAATCTATGGAAGATTGTACCGTTGCGGGTTACTATATACCTGCTGGGACACGTCTTATAGTTCATGCTCAAAAGCTTCAAAAGGACCCATCTTTTTGGGAGAATCCGTATGAATTTCGCCCGAAAAGATTTCTAACTAGTCAAAAGAATGTTGATGTTAGAGGACAGAGTCCTCAATTGATACCGTTTGGAAATGGACGAAGGATGTGCCCTGGAATCTCATTTGCCCTCCAAGTTATGCATCTTACACTTGTGAACTTGCTTCATGGGTTTAATATCGGTAGGATGTCAGAAGAACCACTTGACATGGAGGAGAGTTTTGGATTGACTAGTGTTCGAAAAGCTCCACTCGAGGTTGTTTTATCTCCTCGCTTACCTGCTCATGTTTACGAGTAATTTTACAACCAAATTATGAAAATGTAAAAATATTGTGTGATATTAAAAACAAAAAATTAGTTCAATAAAGTTGGTGTACTTTGTAACATTAATAATAACTTTGAGCACGGATAATGACAGCCATGCACCGATGTCGGATAATGATATAAGAATTTGGCTCTGCATAATTGGTGTTTGCAAGAAACGTCTTTCAAAATTTCCAAATTTAGAAGGTGAGCATGTGACATTTCAATTTTTTTTTTTTTAATTGTAATGGTTAGGTAGCTCCATAAAATTTTAAAATACTTTATATTCTTTGCCTTTCATTTTTGCATCTTTATAGACAATAAAGGATTCTAGAGGGTACCAAATAATTGACAAAAAGCTTTGATTTACTAGGCAAGTAGCGTATGACAAGTGTCATAACTATACTATGAAGAGAGTAGGTTGTGACCCTCGCCAGGACAACCCTTAGGAGACGCCCATCCGCCCAAATGCGGGCCTAGAAGAGTGCCATGATATAATCGAGGAGGACAATGCATCATCCAACAAAGTGGGCATTGAAGACAAGAGACGCCCATCCGGCCATATGCAGGCGTAGAAGAGTGCCATAATGCAATCGAGGAGGACAATGCATGATCTAACAAAATGGGCATTGAAGACAAGTTGAGACAAGCAAGAGAGACATCAGAATAGACACGAAGGATAAAGATAGGCTTGATGAAGGACCAGGTAGGGCCTCGGGCCTTAACCTCAAAAGTCAGGTTTCGGAAGGAATTTGGGCATGCGGTTTGTGAGTTAAGTCCGTCAATATGAAATATGAATGCTCACCAAGTTTGGTGTCAATCAGACACCGGACGGACAATGCATATGATTGTTCACCAAATTCATGTGGCAAATGAAAATGGCTCAAAATGTACTAAAATGGCTCAAAATGTACTATACATGTGTTATAGTGTGGGCGAGTGTCTCAGGCGACTTCCTTTGAAATGGGTTTTTGAAGGACAGTATCGGACGGGACAAGTTTGCCGATATTGCACCCTAGCCCACGTGTTGGAGGTTGCTACATACACCCGCTATCCAATACGGTATCCATAAACGACTCGGCATGGGCACGGGAGGGCCTATGCCTCGATAGAACCTGGATGGATAGATGTTCGGGATGTCCCGATGAGATGAACGACACACGGGCCCATTCTCGATGGCATGACCGAGCCAGTTATGATGGCCGATGACATCCTGAGGCTCGGGATGACGTCAAGACATATGGACTCTGTCGATGGGGATCGAGATGACAAGATGAGGTGCGACGTTGCATTGAAAGACCTGTGCCCGAGTAGAGACAAGGTCGAGCCGAATGACTTAGCCTAGTGTAGAGGCAAGTCGAATGTGTCGCAAACGATTGTACACGCAGGCAACGTGTGTGGTTGAACAAGCGATGTTCGATTGACGAAGACAAATCTGGCCTAAGGTCAAGCCAAAAAGTGGAGGCGAAAAATATATATGGGGCTTAATTCACTTCCGATTGATTCTTTTCCGATCTTAAACTAGTCGTGAGGGGTAAAAACGTTGGATCCATGCCCAAGTTAATGGAGACAGATATGAATGGCTACCTTGATAAGCATTCACATTTGCTTAGTTTTGTATGAAGTTGTAAGGGATAGAATTAAGGTTGGAGGTAGAAGTAAAAAAATATGATTAGTAATGTTTAATGATGAATGTAATGACATACAAGTGGAGTGTTAGATCTGTTCCACAATATACAACAGAAGAGGAGGAAGGTGAGTTTGCTGCTTCAGAAAACGCACACACTTTGAAAACATCTCAAAATCTTGGAAACATTCACTCTCATTCTCCTTCACAATCACTTTCACGGTCGTTTGCCTATGCTGGCTGCTCTGGTGGAAGACGTGAAGCTGTTTTCTGATGGTATTGAGTCTGTGTCTGTCCCGAACTGCTGCTGCATCATCGCTACACCATTCCTGTCCGCCGCCATCTCGGACACGCGCCACACCTTAATCGACTTGTCCAAGCTTCCACTGTACACCATCCACTGTTTGTCCCCATTCTTCGATGACTCTTCGTCCACTTCTGCTGCCAAGCACTTCACCGGCCCACCGTGTCCCGATAGCACCGACAGACATGTGTGGACTGACCCATCTCTACGCCATACGCATATGGTCTTGTCGGCGGAGCCACTGAACAGCATACACCCCGCTGCCACCAGACACAGGACAGTCATCTTATGCGCTTTTAGAATGCCGCCGTGTGACAATTTCTCTTTCCTTTCCCAGAAGTTCACCATCCCATTAGATGACCCACAGTAGACAAACGTTCCGTCTTCCGTGATTGCCAGCGCCGTCACTGCACATTCCTGCTTCAACAGAGACTCCACCAGAGTGTGCTTTGTTGCCTTCCCTTTCGCCTCTCTTTGCCAGACCTTCACTGTCCCGTCCGCCGAGCCGGTAAACACCAGCCCCTCCACGCTCGCCACCACCGAATTCACCGCATCGTCGTGCACATTCAGTGACTCCAAGCACTTGGAGTCTGCAATTCTCCAAACCTTTAAAGTTCTGTCCCACGAAGCAGAGTATAAGAGGAGTTTGTCCTCTGTCAGGCTCAAACAGGACACTGCATCAGAGTGCTTGATCCACAAAGCCCTTCTACGCCCTCGACCTTCCACGTAATTGTTGGGGTTAATTGAGCTTTTGAAAATGTCTTTGAGCGTTGGCAATGTTCCAGCTCGCTTATGATCACTTGGGTTCTTTTGGGACACCTTCCAGACGCGGATTTTGCCGTCTTGGTGTCCGGTGAAAATCTTCTCGCCGGAGATTATAATGGCTTTCACCAACCCACTGCTAGATTTAAAAGCGGCATATTCCTTCAAATCCTTCCAAACTCGAATGTTCTTACTGTCGGAGCCAGTGTAGAGAAGCTCCCCTGCAGCAGCCAAGGAATAGATATGGCCCTCTTCACGAACAAGAGAGCCAATCAACCCATTTTGTGGGCCGCTGTTTTCTTCCACTTGAGACCAGGGGGATTTAGCGAACATGGAGGTCTGATTCCATGGCGACATTGTCATGGGAGAGCCTTCGCCGCTAGTACGACTCTGGTCGTAATAGGCGTTATTGCCGACGGAAGCGCTGCTGTTTCTCATGGCGAAATCATCGTCTTCGACGCTTAGCGTGGTCGAAATGTTGGGGTCGGAATGTGCCATGTTGCCGCCGTATTTGGCTCGTGGTATGCTGTCGGGGTCTTCAAACATGTTGTGGAAGCCTTAGCGGTGGTGGGTGTACGCTTCTCTGACTATGCCTGCTCCGACCTTCTCTCCTTTTTTTTGCGGATCAAAAATATATTTATATGAATTTCCACGTGAGAAGTGAAAATTTCATATAGAAAGAATGTTGAACCCCAGAAGGCTAATGATCCAAAGCACACCCAAGTTTAAAATGGGTGCCGTTGGGGGTGAAATTGAGAGACAAGGGAGGGGAGTATGCTAAAAATGGAAGACAAAAAGATAGCAAATTCGAAAGGGAAGGGCGGAGAGCCAACCAGCTCTCAAAAAAACTGTTATTTTGGACTGTGTGAAGCTGAATGGGGTGGGCGTAAAAGTAGAGACCCTTGTGTTTGCCGTTGATTTCGTCCAAACGACGCCATTTCTTCGCTCAATTACAAGCCTTTGGTCGGAAAAGCTATGCAAACAAATTATCTTGTCCATGTCTAATCATCCAGATTTTGTTTTTGTAGAATCGTGGGCCTATTGGGCGCCTCCGAATATGTTGTTGTTGGGCCACAGGCCCATACTGTGCCTGATTTCTGGCGGGTTAATCCCAACGGTGGTTATATTCTCCCGTTAAATAAATGGGATCTCAAATCTCTGCTCCATTTCAATCTCTATTTAATATAAATATATTTGAACGCATATACATATATATTAAAAAAATAAAGTAGTTAAAAATTTAAATCATAATAATAATAAAAAAATTTATAATTTTTTTTTAAATAAAAATAATATTAAATAGAAAATACTGGCCACCTGGAACCGGGTCCCCACCTCGTCGTTTTCTAACTCCCTTGCGAAGACTCGCGTGTGTCCTAAGCATTTTGGCGGGATTAGGGGAGTTTGAGGACAAGTTGCTCTGCTCTAAAGCCCTAAAAATATGGAGTCGCAATCCGTCTGTCGTAGGGCTTCTCTCGACATTGGTCGGATTACGGGATGGTCGTGCTCGCTTTCGTCAACTGGTTAGTGCTTGTTTCGAATATTAATTTTATGATCGTCCTGTCATTCGGAAGTAACTTTATGGATTTGCTCTTCATTTCTTCTCAACCAATTAGGAAACCGAGTTCGAGAGAGGAGGCAAGGAGTACAGCTTGAATTCTCGCCGAAATGTATGTTTTTAGTTTGGTGCCATTTTTATTCTTGTCTATGTGCGTGTGTATATGATTTGTTCTTTGTGGATCAGCTTGATAGGAGTTAGTATTGGTTGTGAGATTTTTGATATAATGTTTGGCTGGGGATGTGTGGAAGAGGAAGAGAGGGGCGTTGATGTGCGTGGCTGATTCTAACAGGAAGGCTAAATTAGAATCATCTAGAGAGGAAAATCATGTAGTGTATGTTAGTTGATTGAATGGAGTGGAGGCATTTCGTGGGAAATCTGGCTCAATCACATTTCATGGCTTGACTCACCTGTTGGTAGAAGAGGGTAAATTAAAGACCATACGTGCAATTCAACTCAAAGAGGTGGAGCCTCGTTACGGGGTTAGAGGATACTTGACAACTTTCGTTATAGCTCTTAGGAATCACGACTTTCCACCATGGTATGATATTGTCTACTTTGAGCATAAGTTCTCATGATTTTGCTTTTGGTTTTTCGAAAAGGCCTCGTACCAATGGAGATAGTGTTCCCTTGATTATAACCTATGATCATCCTCTAAATTAGTCAATGTGTGACTCCCTCCCAACGATCCTCAACAATAGTTCCATTATTTGCTGTGTATGTAACTTGGCTACTCAACAATAGTTCCATTATTTGCCGTGTATGTAACTTGGCTGATGATTGGCTTGCCTCTGCTTGTTGCAGTGGTTAAGGATATTTAATAATGAATTGTAGTTTACCATCTATATTATATTTGATCGGCAAATATCTTTCATTACGGGTTAGCATAAGGGTTAGCATAAGTATCTTTTCATTTATTACTTTTTTCATATCCTTTTAAGTTATTTGATTATAAATAGAGAACTTTCACACCATTGTATTAGAGCCTCTTCGGGTTACAGTTTAGTAACCCCGATCCTTTATTTTTATTGGCTTCTGAATCCTTTACTCATCTTTTTCTCTACCACCACTACCGGCTTTGACGCAGCAGGGGTAGTCTCCATGGCTGCCGTAGGCTGAGTCGATTGATTACTCTTCGACTCCACCCTTTTGACCTCAAATCACCCTTCACCATACTCTGTACATACAACCTCACCTTCTCCAACACAATCGTTTTCCCCTTAGCCAACATAGTCTCTCTCATTTTCTTCCCAATCAGACCTTCATCCTTCACAAAAACCCTAATCTCAGAATCCTCATATGTGCTCTCATCGGAAATATACAGAATCTCGAGAAGTCTATCGACCTTCTGTAGAGATTTACCCTCGGAATCTGCGCGCCGCACTGGTTTCTTCGCCAACCAAGTTGCTGCCAACCTCCTCACCAAAATCGGCTCCTTCGCCAACTGTGGTGACTCTTCCGGCTTCACCACCATCTTCGGTCTCCACTCCTGGTGGCATGGCTCCCTCTTTGTCCATTGGACTTCACCATCTGCTATGGCTCTGGCCCCACCTATTGCTCCTACGCCGGCCTTCACTCCTGGGAATGGTGGTGCTGTGAATAGAATCGCTGTCCATGGATCTATCATTGTGGCTCTTCACCCACTTCTGATGGTCTCTTTATTAGTAAGTTAAAATATGCTCGAGATATTTTTACTCGTGTTCATTTGCTCGATAGCAAACCAGTCCACAAGGCACAAACCCCACTCCATCTCCGCCCCTCTCTTTCTTCGTCTAAAATACACCTAAAGTCCGTATTCTTAGTTTATGTCACCTTCTTCCTCTCTTGTTCCTCTCTTCTTTATAGTCACCATTGAACCCTCTCTCTCTTCTCCTTCTTCCTCTGGTTTTCCCTTCTACTTCGTGGGTTAGACATATTCTCGTCGGAGCAAGGCAACATCGCAGCTGTGCGACGATCCCCTGCAGTTTTCGAAGGCCAAGAAAATGTTTCTCTATGTCTTCTTCGAACTAGGTTGCTGACATTTTCACAAAAAAATGTTTCTCGATCTCTCTTTGAATTTTTCATATCCAAGTTTCACGTTCGTTCAAATCCGACGCTCAGCTTGCGGGGTGTTAAGGATATTTAGTACTGAATTATAGTTTACCATATATATCATATTTGATCTTTTATTATAGACACATATCTCAGCTTACCATAAGTATCTTTCCGTTTATTACTCTTTTTATATCTTTGTAATTTATTTGATTATAAATAAAGAATTTTCAAACTATTTAGGTGCTTGGTTTTCTCAATAGTGATTACATTTCTGGTTGGAAGTATCGTTCAGTTAGCATGTGAGACCCATCTTGATAGGCGTGGCTCATCTTGTTGCCCACTTGTTCCAATTATTTTGTAGGTATTTCACCTATAGTTATAACTTATAACTCATTCCTCGTTCCTTTCAAAGAGTAAATTAGATATTTTATTAATCATCTTGCAGGTTTATAGAATTTACCACTTGACAAAGCGCATTTTATAGAGAGGCTGATGTTCCAAATGAGAGGGCTTCCCACCACTCCAGACTTGTTGGAAAAAAGTGGAGCTCTTTTTGCTATGATGATAACCTTTAAGTCCTGTGGGTGGTATGTCTCTCGTTGTTAATGACTTTTCTTTTGAGGCTTTTTCCTTCCAGAACTGTAGTAGAGAAGTACTAGTGTTGTGACATGCTGTAAATTCTACTTTTTAGGATTGGTCAACTCTTAATTACCATTTATTTTGTTGCAAATAGTTCTAGTCTCTAGAACATTGGAGAAGAGAATGTTACTAGTTTGTAAGATTCCACATCAATTGGAGAAGGGAACGAGTGACCAATAAAGACGTTAGACCCCGAAAGGGGATGGATTGTGAGATTCACATCGGTTGGGGAAGAGAACGAACCATTTTTTTTATAAGGGTGCGAAAAATTCTCCATAGTGACTCCTTTTAAAAACCTATAGAAAAACCTGAAAGGGAAAATCTAAAGAGAACAATATCTGGTAGCGGTGGACTTGAGCTGTTATAATTGGTAGCAGAGCCAGACACCAGGCAATGTGCCAGAAAAGAGGCTGAGCCCTGAAGGGGATGGACACGAGGTGGTGTGCCAGCAAGAACGCTAGGCCTCAAAAGGAGTGGATTGGGAGGTCACACATCAATTGTAGAAGGGAAAGAGTGCCAACAAACACGTTGGGCCTCGAATGGAGGTGGATTGTGAGGTCCCACATCGGTTAGGGAGGAGAACAAAACATTTTTTATTAAAGTGTGGAAACGTCTCCCTAGTACATGTGTTTTAAAAACCTTGAGAAGTACAAAAGGTGAAGCCAGACAATATCTACTAGCGGTGGGCTAGGATTGAACTTCTGCTCTTCTTTATATTTATTAGTTTATTAATCCTCAGCTTCATTGAATTCTTACATCTACTCATTGGTTAGCAGTCAATATTTTACTCATATAACCATCACAAATCCCATGGTTCTTAATCCTATGATGTGAGACGAGGTATATGCACTCAATGGGAGAGAAAAGTATTCTGTGTTTTCTATATTTTATTGATGTGTAGTGTACAGTATTTATACGCACTTGATACCCACAAATTAGGTTTTGAAGAGGAGAATTTGGGTGGAGGCCCAAATTCACATGGTTGACCTCACCTCATGTCTAGTTTCACGATCGTCACGATTGTGCAACACTTGTTCTAATCTAGCAAATAAGTCAAATTACTTTATCGCCTAAAATTATGGAGAATAAAGAAAAGTCTATTGGGCCAAGGTCAGCCCAATAGGTGTGGGCTGTCTTTGGGCTTTTCAATAAAAGGTGGGGCTGAACCATGGAGAATAAAGAATAGTCTATTGGGCCAAAGTTAGCCCAATAGGTATGGGCTGACTTGGGCCTTTTTCAGAAAAAAGGTGTGGCTGAAACATGGAGAACAAGGAATAGTCTGTTGGGCCGAAGTCAGCCCAATTGGTGTGGGCTGACTTGGGCCTTTTCAGAAAAAGGTGTGGCTGAAACATGGAGAATAAAGAATACTCTATTGGGCCGAAGTCAGCCCAATAGGTGTGGGCTGACTTGGGCCTTCAGAAAGAGGTGTGGCTGAAACATGGAGAATAAAGAATACTCTATTGGGCCGAAGTCAGCCCAATAGGTATGGGCTGACTTGGGCCTTTCAGAAAGAGGTGGCTGAAACATGGAGAATAAAGAATACTCTATTGGGCTGAAGTCAGCCCAATAGGTGTGGGCTGACTTGGGCCTTTCAGAAAAAGGTGAGGCTGAAACATGGAGAATAAAGAATATTGGGCCGAAGTCAGCCCAATAGGTGTGGGCTGACTTGGGCCTTTTCAGAAAAAGGTGTGGCTGAAACATAGAGAATAAAGAATACTCTACTGGGCCGAACTCAGGGCACTAAGAAGGGGCAATTTCGTCTTTGAATGAATGAGGCGTGAATTGGGACGATAAGCCCTAGCCTCACTCTGCCTATAAGTAGACTGCGACCAGAACGAGAAACTCACCTTCCGCGCTTTCTGTACTTAAAACTTCGCCGCCCCTGTTTGTTCTTCATATTTCTGATTTTTGATGGCTTAGGGTTTTCTTCTCTCGATTGAATTTTTCTTCATACTTTGTAGTTGATTAGCAATGTGGAGGTTTTTGTTTCTCTGTGATGATGAACAATGATGACGAGTCCGATTCTAATCCATTCACCCGTGACGACAAAACGAGGCATTTGTCTGAGAGAAATCAAACCTCCATTCTTTTCTTTTATCAAATGGCTCACATTTTTTATCTCTCTTTACGATTATGAGGCTTTATTGAAGCTTTTGTTGATGATTTTCCTTTTATTTGATTGAAACTGAGGTTGTTAGATTAAAGCACAAGTGCGGCGATGATGAGAATACAGACTCTGGTTTAATTGAAACTGAGATTGTTTCTGTGAGTATTTCTCAAGCACTTTTGAGCCGTTTGTGGGAATACTTGGATGAATCTATTTCCTGAGTGTTTCTTTCAAACGCAATAAACCAGCCCACGACATTCTTGTCTGTCTCCAATAAAAAAATTTCTATGCATTTTATCAGATGAGCAATCAAAATCCTTCTGTTTGGAGTTATTTTTCGTACGAAGTTATTTTAAATCAAAAGTGGAGTAGTGGAGTTTGAATATTTAACCATCTAGTCATGTGCAGGTTCGTTCTTTGTCAAGTTTCAAGTACCTTGATTTGGTGATGTTACTTGGATAAAGATCGTGTACGCAGTTCTTCTGCCTGTTCCCAACTGCTGGACCTTTATTTGTTAATAAAGCTTGTTGTGGCTATGCCCATCCAACTCTCAATGTGTATGTATAATAAGTATAGTATTGGTTATGAGAGGAATTCAATTTAACCCTATAATTTATTCCTTCATCTATTTCTTTCTTAGTACTATTCCATGTCAACTTGTTTTTTCTTCTCTTTTCAAATTCATTATACAAACATGTTAGGAACCCTCGTCTTTTCAACGTCTGACAAACCTTCGTGTTAACGGTATCCAGACTAAATTGTAATATATAACGTGCTTCCCAAGAGATCCCATGAATACTATTATCTGTTCATTCGAATCACTTGTATGTTGTCGGTCTGTCCTCTCTGTGTGCCCTCCCTAACTAGTCTTCAACGGAGAATGTTAATGGAATCTTTCAAACTCGTGATATCCTCTCTATCCTTAATATACGAACTGCAATTTATCACAACATTTTTCAATAATAGAAGGTAAGAAAATTGAAGAGCTATGCTAAGAAACTATCCATTCATACTTACAAACCCGAAGTAGATAAGACACTAGCAGTCAACTGAAGAGGTCACAGCACTGCCCAAAAGCTCTTATACATGAGAAATACAAAACCTAATTTGACCGAAGGCAATTGGCTTTCTACAAATTTTCTGGAGTCCTTTAATGAAATTATTGAATGAAACAAAGAATGACTGACCTCTTCAAATTTATATCGAAAAAAATGAAAACAAAAAGATAATAAACAGGACAGGGTCCGATCATTTTTAAATATCTTTACATGGAAGCTAGAAGATCTCTCATTTCTGCCACAGAGAAAAAGGTCTCTGTGGGGTAGATTTTAGCAACAAGTTGAGCGAAACTATCGTACTTGTCCAGAAATTCCTTCTGCAATCAAAGCAAAAGTCTGTTAGATTTCTCGAACCTCAATACTTGAGGACATGAACTCATAAGGACGAAGTAAGTTATTAACCGATACATAAAAAGAGGGATTATTCTTGTTTGATAATCAACCAAAAACCCGCCGTTTATTAACATCATATAAATCGACTACTTTTCAGAGAAGAGACTTCGTGTACCTTGCACTTATCCCACAAAGAAGGAAGTAGTTCCTCTGAGGTTAAATTCTTCTGCAACTTCTTATACATCGCACTAATGGATTTGTCAACCTATGTTACATCCCAACTGAAATTTAGACCGTGTATTCAACATAGAAATATAGAAATGTACTTCCCTGAAGAATTGCAACTTACTCCAGACAAACTCGATTTTAACATTTTTCGAAGATCCATTTTGGACAATCCAAGCTGGAAGGGAACCTAAAATTTACGCCGAAAACAGGGGAAAAAGAAAAAAGCGAGAGTCAAGGACTTAATAATTATACAAAATTCAATAATCATCATGGACCAATGGTAGTAAAAAAGATAACATAGCAGAATAGTTGATTGCTCTGATGCACTACAGTAAGCTGGTAGTGGTAGTTAAAGAGCGTTCTTAGATAGGAAAATCCAACGGCAAAATAATATTTGCAACATACAAACCTCTTCTGGTGGGATGGTGTAGAGCAAGTCTTCTATTCTTCGAGCAAATTGAAATAACCGTTCAAATTGCTGAAAAGTAAAAGGATCAACTTCCAAACGTATTTCCAGAATTGGAGGGGGTAAAAAGGAGGACGAGGCGAATGACTTACATAGTATATAATCATACTTATATGTCGAGTGCAAGCTTGCTCATAAGCTTCACTTGCCTGGTGATAGAATTTTGCAAGGGTAGGCACAACGTTGGCCAGATCATAGAGACTGCATGCGATACATTGAAGTTAACAGACACAAAAGTATACATCATTGCAATAAAAGTTGAAGATTAACCCACGTAATGCATACCTATTCTGAAAAGCTGCATAATTTTCTAAAAGAAAAATGTCTGCATACTTTGGATCTGTTTGTGCAATTTTCTCTAAAGTGACAAACATTATACTGACCTACAAAAAATGTATATAGACAGTTTATAGAATAAGAATTACAATACATGCACCCATTAGTGATCTAAAAGCATGCATGCCAATCTGCAGTCATATGAGCAGATTGCAACAGCACACAGCCAGGAGAAGAACCAACCAATTCAAGAAAGAAAGAAAATTTCAGATTACTGACAATCACATCACTGTAACAATCATAAATGAGTTTTAGGAAACTCACAAATTTTGTATACGCTTGATCAACCAAATCCCTGGATTGTCCCTGGATGTACTGCTCCATTCGTGTAGCAAGAGTTGCAAATCTATAGAAAGGCAATGAGTAAAACGTATGCCTTTAAGCAAACTTATCACTTAATAGCACTCCAAAATAAACCCCTTCCAATTTTCCATTAACTATTCCCAATACACGTGTGTTGCACTGTGATATCCCACATTGGTTGGGGAGGAGAACGAAACACCTTTATAAGGGTGTGGAAACCTCTCCCTAGCATACGCATTTTAAAGCTTTAAGAAGAAGCCCGAAAGGGAAAGCCCAAAAAGGACAATATTTGCTAGCGGTGGGCTTGGGCCATTACAAATGGTATAGAGCCAGACACCGGGCGATGTGCCAGCGAGGAGGCTGTTCCCCGAAGAGGGGTAGACATGAGGCGGTGTGCTAATAAGGACGCTGGGTTCTGAAAGGGGGTGGATTGTGATATCTCACATTGGTTGGGGAGGAGCACGAAACACCCTTTATAAGGGTGTGGAAACATCTCTCTAGCATACGTGTTTTAAAGCCTTGAGGGGAAGCCCGAAAGGGAAAGCCCAAAGAAGACAATATCTGCTAGTGGTGAGCTTGGGCCATTACATGCATGAATTAATGTAAAATATAAAACTAGAAGTATAATAGAAGGAATATTTGATCATGACGCAGTAAGATTCTTATGTGTAAAACAGCCAACTTGAAGCAAATTGACAAAATTGATTTTAAAAAATCCTTTTTAGATGCATGAACCGAGGCAAAACTATCTTCTCTAATCATTTAAATACCAGGATAGAGGGCTAAGAAGGTATTAATAATTTCCAAAGTAAGATAAGGATAAAAAAATGACATGGAAACAAATGACAAAATATGAAAGAAATTGTAGCACTCCTCACTTAGTGCACTATTGCAAACTAAGAGATTCACTATCTTCTAAAATTCCATGATAAGCCTGGAGAACATATAGGTACTCCATAGTCCAAAAAAATGGAAGTAGTTTTTGTTCCAAATAATCTCAGAAGAACTCATCTTCAGAGTTAGTACACTTCAAATTATAGAATTAATAGCCAGCAAGCAGATCTAGCAGATAAAGGAACTCAATCGATGAAACAGTGCTCCACCGAAATCTAGAACTGCATGTTCCAGTTTTCAGCCACCCATTCCACTTCATTGCAATTTACACTTTCAGAAGCCCAACAGAAGCTCAGTATTACCCCCAAGTCCTTTCCTAATAAGTATTCTCAACATATAGTCGGTATTTTATTGCAAAGAGAAGGCTTCATTTTTTACATTACTCATTGACGAAGTGTATATGTACCTGTGTCAAATAAAGTATGTACAACTATGTAACTGCTAATTGTCAATTAACTTGATTGTTAAATATTTTAATCTGTTGACATACAAACATGGAAGTCTTAAGGCAACAACCTTCAACAGGTCATGAAGATCGATCTGCTTAGAAGAGAGTGAATGTATCAGCTAGAACTAAAAGCTGCAGCTTCTAAGTAATGCTACCCAACCAAAGATGTTAACTATTAAACGGTGCAATATTGTATATCTCGATCCTCAAGATTGACAAAAATTTGTAAGAAATAAATGCATGAACCTTCCAGAACCAGTTTACCTCAGAATATAAGATAGTGCACCCATCTGCCTGACATTTCTATCATTTCTTTCTATCTGGTGACAAGCTTCATCAACAAACTGCAAAACATTTGCACATTTCAATAAGGTCAACAGCGTCATACAGCTCAGAAAGTACTTCTATCGTTAGCTTCAAATCAATTGTGTACAATCACATGCACATGTACAATCTTAGCTTATTGCCAAAACTTACGCGATTAAATTGCATGGAAATTCTCGACTCCAAGTCACCAAGCAAAAGACGGACAAATCCTGCTGCATCAGCTTTCTGTCCAGAAAGATAGCGTTCTGTAATGCCATGCATTGATATGCAGCGCAATGGATCAATTTTGTATGCCCAATCCACAACAGCATAAAAATCCTCCTGATTCACATTTCAAACAAATTGGTTTAATATTTATGAACAGCCTCTGTCTCGATATTTCTGTAAATGATCTTTGCCACATTTTGGGTTTTCAATTGGCAAAACAATCTACATTTACATTAAACCATTTTGATTCGAAATGACATTAATGTTCAAATAACCTTGGTGCAACTTAACAAGGTATATACCTGATCACTTAACTAGAAATCAACGTGGAAAAATTAGCTTGGTAACACCAAACATATTGTATATATAACAAAGGTGATTATTTAACTACACAAGTAGCTAGCCTAATGAACTATCATTGTTTATATGAAGTAACGGAGATATACAGGCTTTTCCAGAAGGTTCTCCCATCTATTAAAAAAAACAAAAATGAGAAACACACACGAACAATAGAATGATATTGATAAATCCTAAGCAATTGATATCCAAAATCTATAGAACTTTCTCTTTTCGAATTTATGATCAGTTATTAGTAACAAGAAAAAATATGTGGTGAAAAAAGGACGTAGGAATATGTAAAACAATAGAGTATATATCACCTGAATGCCATCAAGCAAGTCCTGAAGTGATTCATTTAATGCTGCAAGCTCGGCAGAATTTTTCCCTACAACATCCCATGTTGCATGTCAAAGACTCGCAACTATATGATAGATCCCGGGAGGAACAAGAAGGATAATAGCAAGTAGGAATACCAGATTTGCTGTCGTTCTCATCAATATCCATAATTCCCAAATCATCGTCATCGTCGTCGTATCCTGATTTACCACCGTTAACACCACCAGGAGGCACAAGGGCAGGAACTTCGAAGCACATGAAGTGAGCAAAAAATGAACTCTGCATTTGTTGTCACGAAGAAGAAAATCATTCAAAGAACAAAATTATCATATGATCAAGTACATGTAGGACTAGTGCTTTAACCTCATCTACAAGAAGAGGGATAAAAATGGTTAACATCTTCCCATAAGCCTCTGAGACAGTAGAGGTATCAGCTGCATTCGCATTCTGACCAGACCCAGAGGAAGCTTCAAGCCAGACAGTTGGATTTCTTGATGCTTTGGTGCTAGC